TCTTGCTCTCCTACAAGGACAGCCATGTTCTGCTGAGCCTCTCCCGGCCCCTGTAATCAGGATGGTTGAACTCCTGCTGGTGTTCTTAGGCACGGTGCAGGGCATGCGTTCTCAGCTGTTACTTCTCTGCTATCTGCTTGCCAGTCTCTACAGGGTGAGTCACACTGCTTCTCTGCTACTGTCTCTTTCCCTACTCTCTTTGTCCTTGTGAATTTGTGATTTTATTTACTGCAGTGGAGCATGGGTTCAGGAATTAGAATATTTTAAAAGTTGTTGGTTTCTCTTTATGTGACTGGGAAACCTCCCTCTTTCTTTATCATATATATATGATATACGTATATGTATACATGCTCTATTTGTTTTTTTCCTCTAAGACTCTCAAATTGCAAATGCAGGAAGCCCAGAGCTCACCCTCAGCTCTACTTCGCTATCACCTGTGGTGGTCACTGTCCATTGACTCCCCAGCATATGATGAACCCGTAGTCTTTTCAAAGCCAGGTTCGTCTGACTTGTGTTGTCTCTCAATGTTCAGCCTCCAGGAAGAGATGATGATCAGGGAAGATGGGTTGGTCCACTAAGAAAGGCCCAGAAAGATCTAGGCCCTGAGGAATATGGGACTCAGGCCATGAAAAACTCAATCGAGGCTCATAATTTATTTTACTTGGGTTCTGAAGAAACTGAAGTGTAAGAAGCAAAGGAGAAAAAAAATAGCATACCAGCAGGAAATGATAGATCTTGAAAAGATACAACGCAGAAAACAATGTGGGGGCTGATTACAGATTTATTGGTACAACTTTATCTAATTGCTAGGCAATTCAGCATTAATTATGTGCCATCTTAAATAGGTATCAAATTAACTTTGTGAAAATGCACTATTTGATTAGAATAGTAAACAGTCTGCACGTGTATTCAATATTTGTCTGTTGATGTTCTAATCAGAGAAAGGCGCTTACTAATAATTGGCTATATGAGGAGAAGAGAGCAAGCATAAAGCATTCACGGTAAAGGAAAGGTGCTTTGGATCTGGGCTCAACCACAAATCTGCATGACTACAATAGCAACAACACATTAATAGGTGCTTAATAACTAACTGTTGGATGGATGGATGGATGGATGACTGGGTGCATGGGTGGATGAGTGGGTGCATGGGTGGATGAGTAGATAGATGGATGGATGAGTGGATGGATGGCTGGGTGGATGGCTGGGTGGATGGATAAGTTGATGAATGGGTAGGTGGATGGAAAGAGAGGTGGATGCATGGGTGAGTGGGTGGGATGGATGGATGGAAAGGGGTGAATACATGGGCAAGTAAGTGGGATGGATGGATGGATGGATGGATAAATGGATGGATGGGTGGATTAATTTAATAAAGCTTTGTTGCTGTTATTAACACTAAAATCTCATGTACATTGATTACTTACAACTTAAAATAATAAAGGAGTATATGGGTTAGTAACTATATTTGATTGAGGAATGAGTTACAGGATTTAAAAAAAATAAGTATTTTGGCAGCTTTTATAATACAGTGTTTGGATGACAAATGAGTACTTATTTACAGAGAGGTAATATACAATTCCTATATTTTATGAAATAATGAACAGTTTCATATCTGGACTTTTGGATTATGTTTTATATTTGGAGACCAAATGAACCTTTGCAAGGTTGTACTGAAAGTGGAAAATTATGGATGAAGCTAGTGTGATCTAGTTTCAGGTGATGTATAACAGGGCACCTTACAGGAAGTGTGTTACGAGAAAGAGGCCAGCAGCTATATCCAGAGGGGTCTACCAGGGCACAGGCCTGCCTGGGGAGGTTTGCTATTGGGTGGAATGTTCCCATGTACTTAGAGAATAATAGCAAGGGAGGCAGATTTGGATAAAGGTAAATTTTGGAGAGGGAGTTGAGAGGCAGGGAATGACAGAAAACCAGAAAGTAGAATTCAGAATGGGGAGAGTGGGCTGGGGGCAGAGAGAACAATAAAGGGGGAGGAAGGCTGCACATGGCCCAATCTAGCAATTTGTCTGACTGTTCTAGACCTGTGTCATGGTTTTCAAAATGAGGTCTATGGCTATTTTCTCTTTGGGATTCCAAAACTGATCTAAGAAGCAAGGTGTTGATAATAAGGGTGAGACGAAGACCACTTACCGTAATTTTTGAGCCAAATTTGAAGCAAGCTTTATTAAATACTGTCCAGGATGATGAACACTGGCCAGGTCCATACCTGGGATTCCCAGAGAATGGCCATGAATTACATTAGTCAGAGGCTTATAAGGCAAAACCCACAAGGCTACATACTTCCTGTCTTCATCAAATTGGGGGCAGGCATACATCCTGATGTACTTCCTGCCTACATAACTCCCACGTACATGAGACCAAGTATATCCTGTGCAGTTGGGGCAACCAACCTTGTTTACAAAAGTGAAAACATGTGTCTTGTTATCTTACATGAACAATAGCCCCCAGCATTCCAGGAAGTTATCTGTCCTTGGGCAAGTGGGGCTTAAAGGTTAGAGCCATTTTCGTTTTATAGATCTCTTAAGCACACTAATTAAAATTTAAAACAAAATTTTAATCCTCACAGTATTTGTTATTATTTTTGAGTGTGTATGTGAATGGTAGGGTGTGTGCGCATATAGTGTGTGTGTGTGTGTGTGTGTGTGTGTGTGTGTGTGTGTGTGTGCCACACATGCACTACAGTGCATGTGCTTGAAGAAGTCAGAAGAGAACATTGGGTATCCTGCTTTATTGCTCTTCACGTCTTTCCTTGGATGCAGGGTCTCTCACTGAGCCTGCATCATTTGTTCTTGTTGACACAGGGTCTCTCACTGAGCCTGCATCATTTGTTCTTGTTGACACAGGGTCTCTCACTAAGCCTGCATCATTTGTTGTTGGACACAGGGTCTCTCACTGAGCCTGCATCATTTGTTCTTGTTGACACAGGGTCTCTCACTGAGCCTGCATCATTTGTTGTTGGACACAGGGTCTCTCACCAAGCCTGCATCATTTGTTGTTGTTGTTGTTGTTGCTAGACTGGCAGCCAGAAAGTCTCATCGATCCACCTGTCTCTGCCCCCATGGCACTGGGGCGACAAATGGGTGAGGCCACCCAAGCCTTTTACATTTAGTGCTGGATATTTGAATGCAGTTCTTCATCCCTGCACTGCAAACACTCTTCTTCACTGACATCAGATATTTCTTCATCGATCTCCATTTACATGGGGCTAGCTAAGAAGGGCTTGCCTAGTAACCTACCAGAAAGCTGAGGGTTGCCAGGCTTTACTTATAAACTAAATTCAACAGACAATTACAGTCGATGAAAAACTAGTTCATCTGACACATGAGGTTGATTCTTAACATACTACTTGTATGTTGTAGAGCTGGCATTACATAGCACATGGTGATGATTGAACTCCCACACGTATTTTTGAAGGAATTCTTGTGAACAGTATATCATCAGTGTCTATGAATGGTCCATGATTTTCAGTTGCTGCAATTCTGGTTATTTAATAACCATACATTTAGCTTCATTAGTCAAAATTTATAGATTGTATAATTAGAATATTTGCAAGTAGTGTTACACATCTGTAGCAACGGCATTTATAAACTGTAGTTTGATCAAGCTAAACTTTGAAACATAAATAATTCATCCATTGCTAACGAATTACGCATAAAATGAATAGTATTTATCCGGGCACGGTGGTATACACCTATTATTGCAGCACCCTGAAGGCTGCAACAAGAGGATTGCAAGTTCTAGGCAAGCCTAGGCTAGATAGGAAGTCCTAGGTCAGCCTGAACTACAGGGCCAAACAGTCTCAAAAAACCCAGCCAGCCAACCAACCAACCACCCACCCAACTGAAACCAAAAAACTCCCCAGTCGTTTAAGGAGCTATAGTTTATATTTTAGTTCTTTCTCCTGCTGGGAAATAAAATATGGTAATATTCAGTGTGTGTGTGTGTGTGTGTGTGTGTGTGTGTGTGTGTATGTGTGTGTGTGTGTGTGTGTGTGTGTGTGTGTGTGTGTGTGTGTGTGTATGGGGGGCATTTTCCATATTTAAATGGACACTGGTCCAAAAAGTTTAAGTTACAATATTCAAGCAAGAGCTTGTTAAATACAAAGGGCAATCACATCTTGATTTTGGGTGACATAAAGGAAAATGTCCTAGAAAGCCAAAATCCACTTGAATTGTTAGGTTATGGCAAGGATATTAACTTCTGTTCTAGAACCAAACACTTAAACACAGAGGTATAATGAAATGGCTGCATGTGTTGACAGACCTGGGGTGGTGGTGGTGGTGGTAGCGGAAGGATGTGGAAAGGGTGGGAACACAAACAATGAGCTCATAAGCCAGAGGCTTGATAACTACACAGTTCTGTTACTCCAGGTTTGTCTGATGTCAGGATATCCAAATGGAATGGAAAATCCAAGTTGGCCTAATCAGTACAATTCAGAAGTTGACACTGAGGGGCATTAATCCAGATTCCTACATCTTGAACAAGGCAAAAGCACAGATGGTCCAAGATTACTTATATTCCAGGTCTGACTGCTGCCCTCAGTGTCTTTAGGGCTCCCCCAACCCAAATCTGAAAGGGACAATGTTAGAAGAGAAAGACAAGTGGTCTGGGCATGGAGGTCTAAAGCTGGGAGTTATTTCTAAGTGGGGCTGGATGCTTGGAGTGTGGTTTGGTTTTGTTTTGTTGTTGGTTTTTCAAGACAGGGGTGCTCTGTGTAGCCCTAGCTGTCCTGGAACTCACTGTGTAGACCAGGCTGGCCTCCAAATGAGAGATTTGTCTGACTGTTGGATTAAAGACGAGTGCTACTCACTGCTTGGCTGTTTTTTTTTTTTTAATTAACTATTTATTTAGTTTTTAAATTTTATGAAGACTCATTCACTCATGGGAGGAGAAAAGAAAAGATTAGAAAAAGACACCCTTCCCCCAAAGAACTTCCTACACTGTTTTATAGGTTTGGCCAAAATCCAATATGATTTGAATCTTACATTTTGGGCTAGACTCTAGGTTGATTCCCAGTATAATAAGACAGATTCTGAAAGACATAAAGAGAGAATAACTGTTAAGGGGCTCTTCTCTTTTTATTGTTTATCAAGTTAAATACCAAATATTCACACATTGTCACATGGATTTCCACCCTCTGCCTACAGTGGACGACATTGCCAGGTTTGTGCCCCAGGGGAGGTGCAGCTCATTAGAAATGGGGTGAACACAGTAGTTTTCCCACCTCCAGCTGAGACAGAAGGATTATAATCTTTATTATTGTCTCCTTGGAACAGAGATTAGTGGCTCATGTGACATCACCTCTGTATTTTTTAAAATTTGAGATAAAAACAACAATAACAAATGGAGATGTTTCTTCCCTATTATTTATAGAATCACAAATACCAAAAGAACAAGGATTTCTTTAAAGAATTTTTAAGCATGAACTATGCAGGTGCTCCATTTTCCCTTCAGTCACTGCAGCCTCGTTCCAGAGAGGGTGTGAAAAGACCTTGGCACACTTCTTTCACTGGTGTGGTCATAGCCCATCCGAGAGGAAAAACTCAGAGAGTCACACTGCCAGATACCTCGGAAGCAGTCAAGTTCTCCCAGGACTCCCATGTTCTTCCCTGAAGCGTCTGAGCTCTCTCTTCCCTTATGATTCTACAGGATCCTAGGGAAAAAAAAAATCAATCTCCTTTAGGAAGACAGAGCAGGTGTGTATGAAACAGTCCCAATGCTGTCTGTATCAGAGCTTTGTCTTTCATTCAGAGTACAGGAACCACCCAAGAGTCTTGTTAAAATGCAGATTCTGGAGTGAGCCACAAGACATGGCAGGTGTAATAAACGTATGAATGATACCATTATGCTTGGCCCCAGATCATGCCTGTAGACAGACTAGCCTACCTTCTCTTTCCCCTGGCCCCAGACCATGCCTAGAGAAAGAATGGCTCGTCTTCTCTTCCCCTTACGCTAAGCACAGCTGTTGTTAGAGACTGCTAAAGCATACCACCATCATTCCTTGTCAGGAGCAAGAAAGTAGGTGCATGTAGTTGGTATCACAGAAATTATATTTTATTATACCGGGGGTCCTCCTACGAGATTCACACTCGAAATTCCTAACAACAGTTCTAAGCCTATCTCCCCGAGGCTGCTCACCTTTGCAGCATACCTCAGCTGAAGGTCGGCTGCTTATCTCCCCGAGGCTGCTCACCTTTGCAGCATACCTCAGCTGAAGGTCGGCTGCTTCTCACAGTTGTCTCCAGCTCAAAGGTCAAGATCTGGGGGGGAGAATCTCAAGATGCAGGGCAGGTCAAGGTGGTGTCTCTCCAGATGTGCCGAGCAGGGCAACGGTCTTGGTCTCTGCTTACATACTGTCCAGAGGGCGTTGTGGGGTTCTAGTTGTGTGTCTGTCATCTTGAGGAAGTGATGCCACTGGACTCTGGTTATCAGGTGCAGCCTTGGGTGGAGTGGGGATCCTGACTAGGCTGTTTTTTACATGTCTAAAAGGCATTCTTTTTCTTTTGCTATGTTCATCACAATCTTCTACCTCTTGTGAGGCAGCTCCCACTTCCCTGGCCTTTACAATCCATGGAACCTAGAATGAGATATTTTTGTGGGATGCTAAGGGTTGAAGCTGGGACTTTATATATGTTTTATAGGATCTCTGCCACTAGGCTGTACCCCAAGCCCCATAATAGTTACTTTTAATTTAGGATTTAGGATTTAATTTTTATTAAAGAGGTTTTTTTTTTTTTGGTTTTTCAAGACAGGGTTTCTCTGTATAGCTTTCTGCCCTTCCTGGAACTCGCTTTGTAGACCAGGCTGGCCTCGAACTCACAGAGATCCACCTGGCTCTGCCTCCTGAGTGCTGGGATTAAAGGCATGAGCCACTACCACCCGGCTAAAGTGGTTCATTTTAAAAGAATGGAAATACATTTATTTTAAATATTATTTTTCTCAAATGTATATTTCAAACTCCATAGATTCTCCCATCAGCATATGCACGCACACATTTGCATACAACCACCCACACACATATCTACTCTGCGTAGCAAGACATAAAACAATGTTGCTGAGCTGGGTGTGGTGGAGCATGCATGTGATCCCAGCTCTTAGGAGGTAGAGCCCGGAGTTTGAGGTCAGCCTGGGCAGCATAGCAAAACCTCATCTGGAGAATTTCTTTTTCCCTGGCCACAGAATTTTTCCTCATGCTCTTTACCAGTAAATATCACTCCCCGAAACCACCACCATGCTGATACCTATCACCCACAGTTCAGTTTTGCCTCTTCTTAAAATTCCTAAAAATGGAACCATGTATCATGTATTCCTTTGCATCTACCATATTTATTTGTCACAAATGCCTGAGACATTTATCCACATTGTTGATAATGGCAGCAGTAATCTGTGATTTTTTTATTAGCATGTGGAAGTCCATTCTATTAATATTATGCAACTTATTTATGCATTATATGGCCGATCAAAATTTAGGATGTTCACATTTTAATAATTGTTACTAAAACTTAAGCTTATGATTGCTATGTGGTGAGTATTTACCTAGAAGCACATTGCTGGATCATATGGTAGGTGTGTTTAGCTTTGGAACTATGTTATTATAAGGACTTAGTTTTATATAAAACTATGTTATTATAAAGGAACTTCTGTTGTGGACTTTTAATATGCTAGTTATTTTTCCTAATACATGTAGAAAAAACATTAATCTTCACCATTGTATGACCTAAACATTTTCACATCCACTTCAGAAATAATTGGTATAGCTAGAAGACTTGGGATTTGGCACGTGACTGATTTAAATGCTATGACTGATTTAAATGCTATGTGTGAGATCTCTGAGTCTCAGATTCATGAACTACAATTTATTTTTTTCGAGACAGGGTTTCTCTGTGTAGTTTTTGGTGCCTGTCCTGGAACTCACTCTGTAGACCAGGCTGGCCTCAAACTCACAGAGATCCACCTGGCTCTGCCTCCCGAGTGCTGGGATTAAAGGTGTGTGCCACCACCGCCCGGCTGAACTACAATTTGATGTTAACAACATAGTGAATCTTACGAAGATAAAGGTTGAGGGAAAGAAGGTGGATTCTAGGGCACATGTTGTACAATTCCTTTGCTGCTGAATGGTCAGGATTATAGTTAACCTTCCCAAAAGGTAGCAAATCTATGGTCCCACTTCCCTGAGCACACTCAATCTCAGTACACTGGACTACCTAGACTTGGGAGAATCTTCTGGGATGCTGGAAATATTTATATCTCATGCATGTATCTGTATAGCATACACATACAATTATGTGCCACATTATGATAGCTCTAGCAAGAGGGACTGCATGTACAACCACAAATATTTAAGATGTTGCTGTGCAGTAATATCATAGCTTAGCTCGCATATATCTATGATGTTCACACAATGATGAAGTCATGATAATGACAAGGTTCTTAGGCATTCTTCTTGCTAAGCAGCACATGTCTGCACTTATATACATATACTTATGCATATTTATGTATACAACCACAGCATAAAACTTGGGGCTCTTTTTTTAGGGTGTTTATCATGTTTCTTGACTCAGGTGCTGATTACACAAATGTGCCTGGATTGTAAAATTTCATCATGCTGTACAAACATGATAGATGCACTATAAATGTGTGTTTTTATAAAAATGGATATGATAATAAACATAATGTCTGCTTCCAAGTTTGTTGCATGAAGTACAGAAAGGGTTATTACTACAGGAATTTTTCTGTGGGGGATACAATGTCTATGTCTCTTCATAAGGTCCCAGTGACAATCTAAATTATGATTCCACCGAAGCTCACCCTGGGGAACCAGTCAGCATCAGGCTTTCTTGTAGGTGAGGGGTTATGGTGGGAGAGTGGGTGCTCTCAAAACAGCTATACTGGAAAGTCTTTACCAGCATGGGTAATGGCTTCCTACAGCCACACAGACTGAGCCTGTCAGTTAACCTTACCTAGTCTAGGTAAGCTAGCACCTCCAGACATCTCCAGGAAGCCACATGCAATTAGGGCAGAACTGGATACAAATGGTTGGGAGGAGTGGCTGGAATCCTAGGTGAGGATCCAGTGACGCTCCCCATACGTGTCCTCTGAGGGAGCATCAAAAGTCAACAGGCCTGCTCTTGATGGCCTCTCGTGGGTTAGCCTCAGCTATTCTGATGAAGATGGTGTCTATTTTGCTCAGAGGACTGTGGTCCCTAGCAGTTGTCAAATCCTAGTTCCGTGAGATCCAACCCATAGTAGACTTAGAACTTGCTGTATGAAATTAGCTACCATATGAGGTATTGGCTCATTCACGTTCACATGCTCTGAACTAGGTGGGAAAGACCTGCTGCCTGGAAGAGTACTTTCCAGACTTGTATGTATACTGTTCGTGTTTGTATTGTATGTGTATGTTGTTTGCACCCATGTGTGTACACTGTACCCAAGACCAGAGGACGTTGGTATACTGCTCTGTCATTCTCTGTCTTGTTCCTTGGAGACAGTCTCTCACTGAACCTGGATAGGCTGGTGGCCAGCAAGCCCCAGCAATCTTGTCTGCCCCGTCCCACAGCACCAGGGATAGAGCTGCACACAGGATTTGAATTCAAGTCCTTATGCTTTCACAGCAAGTACTCTTACTCTTGACTCATCTCCTCAACCATTATATCTTTTTTTTTTTTAAATAAGACAAACATGCAGACCAGAAATTCAGGCAGAATTATAACAGTCTTGAGGCAAAATTCTTTCCTCATTGCTTATGCTTAAGACCTTCAATGATTGGATGAGACCCACACACATTATGAAAGGTAATCTTTACTTAAAGCTGGATGAATGTGTTAGTCACATCAAAACACCTTCATAGCTGCCTCTAAACTAATGTTTGATGCTATAGCCTAATCAAGTTGATGCATAAATTAGACACCATCATGTTTAAAGCGAGATTTATGCTTGGCTAAAATAGCCCTGATTACATATTCATCGAGAGCCTATTCATCTTTGAAGGGTATTTTTATTGTGTTTCAAGTGATGTATGATCTTAGGGGTTAGCGTCACATGGGCCACAGACAGTGCTACTAATCTTGGCTGAAGAATCTTAGTTATAAAGGAGATTAGATATCTAGGTTGTATCAGGAGAGTCAGCTAGCTAAGTCTTTGGGAAGCCTCCAAATCTCATTAAATCATATCTCAAAGAAAAGTCTCTCATCAAAACAGCAGCTAAGATAGTGTGCATCAATCAATGAGGGGTTGAATGTTGTTATTGAAACTTATAATGTGTTTTCTCCAAACAATGTCATAAATAGCAGGTACTCAGAAACCCTAGATATTATCTGTATTTGTATGTTTTAACTATTTCATCAGATGGTTTCATAAATAATGGCCTGATTGCCTCTTCTACTTTCCTGTACTTCCCAAAATATTAGAAATGAGAGATCAGATCTCTTTGCCATACTTAAGTAGGAATGTCCAATGAATTAAAAAAAAAATTAACTGGAAGATGGACCTGTGGATTACATCTGACTCACCGAATTATTTCATTTTGATCTATGGGTTTAAAAACAGTATTAATGTAGACATGCAGAAAGCAGATGATTTCCTTTCAAAATATAGGAGTATGTCTCTCCTTCCTTGTGTGCTGTGGTGGGTGTCCCTGGGAAGAAGTTCCTCTCTTTACCTCTCTCCTTCTGACTTTCTGCACTCTTGGTCCTTATCATCTCTGGCTGGTCCCAGCATCCCTCCTTCTTCAGAGTAGCCTGGTCTGGAGTTCAGCACCATTTCCTTGTCTTACTTAGGGTTTCTATTGCTGTGAAGAGACATCATGACCATGGCAACTCTTTTGTTGTTGTTTTTTTTCGAGACAGGGTTTCTCTGTGTAGCTTTGTGCCTTTCCTGGAACTCACTCTGTAGCCCAGGTTGGCCTCAAACTCACAGAGATCTGGACCATGGCAACTCTTATAAAGGAAGGCATTTAATTGGGGCCAGCTCACAGTTTCAGAGGTTTAGTTCATTATCATCATGGTGGGAAGTATGGTGGCATGTAGGCAGACATGATGCTGGAGAGGTAGCTGAGAGTTTGTTCTGCATCCAGATTGGCAGGCAGCAGGAAGAGAGAGTGACACCAGGCTTGGCTTGAGCACTTGAAACCTCAAAGCCCACCCCCAGTGACACACTTCCTCCAACAAGGCCATACCCACTCCAACAAGGCCACACCTCCTAACTGTGCCACTCTCTATGAGCCTGTGGGGACCATTTTCGTTCAAACCACCACAGGATCCATTCCTGTTTCCCCAGCCCACGTTTGTGTCATATGCCCAAGACCATGAGTGCTTACCCTTTGTCCTCGGCCCAGTGTAAGGACATAGCCACATTCGATGACATCTTCTTGGCCTCCTTCGTTCCCTCCAGCATCCCATTCTCCCTCTGTGGGCCCCAGCCTGCCAGGCCGTACCTTGCTGTGGGGAGAGAGGTCCTCTGAAACAGTCCCCCCAACACCTGCATTTAAAGGCGCCCAAGGTGCCTGTCACTTCCTCACTAAAATCTTGTGTTCCTCTTTCATTCCCAGTCCAGTTTTGCCCCCTCACAGCCTCAGAGTGGCAGGAAGGATCCAATCCACAACACGGTTTGACTTGTGCCCCCTGGGTCTATGCTGGCACAATCTGCCAGAGTTCTGGGACCCTCTGCTGCTCGCCCGTCACTTCACAGGCTTCTTCTGTGTGGGCTTCTTTTGGTTTTCACGGTTTCTGAAGCAACTCGAATTTGTAGTTTACTTTCATAAAATAAAAAATTGAAGTTGCAAGACCTTTAGAAAAGGGTTTCTGGATTTTCTTAAATTATAAACCAACCAGAGATCTGGCAATACTAGGGCAGGATTATGCATGATAAGCACTGACAGGAGGAAAGGAATGGCAGTCCTCAGCGTGTGTTTCCCAGGTCACAGGAGCCACCACCCTGGCTGGCTTCCCTGTTACATTGCCAGCACTGTCCTATTAGCTAAACTGTAATCTCCGACACAGTTTGCGTCTGTCATCTGGCCAGGGCTATGATCCGGTGTCTACCGCTTGGGCTTGAGGGTCCTTCTTTCTGTCATCCGAGAGCCATGAAGATGCAGGTTAAACAGCACTGTATGGTCCCTGCTCCAGAGGACTCAGGCTGCCAAGTATATGAGTGGAGTTCCCCAACCATTTCCACAGGGTTTGGAGGAGAAAGGCTCCATTCCCACGGGGGACCAGCAGTCCTCTTTCCCTCTCTTCTCCATCAGTTTACCCCTTCCTTCCTTCCTTCCTTCCTTCCTTCCTTCCTTATGTCTGTTCCTTCCTTCCTTCCTTCCTTCCTTCCTTCCTTCCTTCCTTCCTTCCTTCCTTCCCTTTCTTTCCTTCCTTCCTCCTGTTTCCACTTTCCTCTCCCTCTTCTTTCTTTTCCTTTGCTGTCCCCTCCTGTTCCCTTCTCTTCTCTTCTTCCTTCCCCTTCCTCCTTTTCTCCATTTCCTCCTTCTTCCCATCATCCCGACTTCAGGTTTGTCTCACCACCAAGGCAGAGAGAGCAAGCCTTCTCGGCCTCCCCACTCCTAGAAGAGGCTGATGCTGATGTGGAGCTGGGCTGGGACGGTGTTGTCTTACCTGGAAGATGGGGTGGAAGGAGGGGAACAGAAGCCCCTCCCCCTCCTTTTCTAGCACCCCCACTATTCCAGATCCCCTCTTTTCACAGAGCAGGTGGACAAGGAGGAACACTTGGCATGAGGGTGACCTTCTCTTTTCTCCTTCTTGCTCCCTCCAGCTTCCTAGAGCAGTTCACTCCCCTTCTTCCTGCCCGTTGTCCCCTGCTTTCCAGTAATCTTGTGGTTCTTGTTCCCAGACAGGAGCTTGCAGGGATTGGAAGCAGGGGCTGTGCTGAGTTGGGGGAGTGTGCCCCAGACGGCTCTGGAAGGCAGGAGGGTAAGAAAGTTCCACCAGGCACTGGGAGAGAAAGTCCTTTCTGAGCCAACCCAACCCGATGAAGGTTAGCACTATTTATGCTGAGTGTGAAGGCAAATGCTTTCAGTTTCTTTCTGTACTTCCTGCCACATTCCTGGCACAGTGCACATTTCGGCAGGTTCATCCTAATAAAGTAGCTTATATGCTAGTTAAACAGTGCTCAACCAAGTTAAGGAAGGAGGTTCTCAAGATCAAGATAGCACACCATTTCAGGGTTTTTAGAAATTGAAGAAAGGACCTTTAAATAGATACCAGGGTTGGCAAGATGGCTTAGCAGGTAAAGACACTTGCCCCTAAGCTGGACAATCCTAACTAGATCCAAGGACCCACATGGTGGAAGGAGAGGACCAATTCCTGAAAGTTGTCATCTGACCTTCATGTGTGAGCTGCAGGATGTGTGCGCGCACACACACACACACACACACCACACACATTCACAAGTAAAAATTTAAATAGTACCAACCATTATTGTATATGATAGAGCAGAAAAGACTGAACAGATATTTCAGTGTTAATATCAAGTAAAACAAAAATCTGGGCATCATTATTTCTCCTCAATGCTAAGTACACAATCAACACATAAAACTGGACAGTGTTTGTATTACGATGGCTAAATTTTTATTAAATACTGACACAGTGAAGGAGCTGTGATTCGCCACTACACAGTGCAAACCAACCAGAGCACTATCTAGGCAGCATTCACTCTGTAAAATCAACAGCAATTCTAAGACAGACCAAAGAATGACACTAATACTGTTGAGAGGTATATCCATCCATCAGAGAAGACCGCTTGGACACGGGTTCAAGCCAATAGAAAGTCTTTATTAGCTGGCCTGTGACGGCACTGTGACACAAGTGCAGTCCCAAACCTTTCTCAGGGTGAGCTTTTAAGCACAAAAAACACATTCTGGGTTGCCACACTCCAGTTAGCAAGACCAGCCAGAAGCAGAACTACCGAAGTCAAAAGGTAAGGTTGGTGTATCTAGGGACATTCCCAGAACTGTGGCCTTTGGTGGACTACTAGGTCTTTGTTCTCATTTAGGCAGGTATGCTCTTAGGCCAGAATAGTGCCTCAGTGCCTCTAACATGGCACCAGTTATGCTAAGATCTGAGGATCTGTCACAATTTAGGAGGCATGTTTTAGAAATTACTGGTTTTTACTACTAGATTCTCTGAAAATGTTAATTTCAGTTGTTAAGAAAGAGAAAAAAAAAATCTAGGCCCAGTGGCCTAGATACATGGGAGGTTCAGACAGAAGGATTCCAAGCCCAAGGCTTGCCTGGGCTACAGAGTAAGTTCAAGAGCAGCCTGACAACTTTGTGAGTTCCTATATCAAAATAAAAAGTGAAACAGAGGGCTGGAGACATGGCTCAGTGGTAGACAATAACCTAGCGAGTACAAGACACTCAGCTCAACTTCCAGTACTGAGTAAGAAAGAAAAAGTAAAAAGCAAAAACTGGGAGAGGATCCAGCTCTGCGGTATCTAACACACTTCAGACACTGGCTTCTTTTAGCACCAAGAGAGGGAGGGGCTAAATACAAAGAAAGACAAAAAGGAAGCCACAGTTAGGATATATCCCAAGGCCGTTCACTCATACAGCCCATAGCCACATACCCAAAAACCTAAGTCATCCTGCTTTCCCTCAATATAATCTCTACCTGAAGGGACACCAGCCCACTCGAACATGTGGCTCTGGCTTGCCTTGTCCTTCTCCCCATTCTCTCTGCCTTGCTAAAAACTATTAGATTATTAACTAAAGCTAGCCACCAAGGTCTGTTCCCTTATTTGGCCACTTCCTCCTCCTGAGGCTGACTACCAAGGTCCAGCTATCAGAAGCCCCCTTTGGCTCACCTAATTAACATGCCCAGTTAAAATTAAACACCTCATCCTAACACGGGGTTTCCCCTTTACCTTTATAAACCACCAAGTTGGCTTGCCTTGAAGAGTTTTAATGTGTAAGAGCCAATCATGAAAAAGGTCAAATTGCTTCCTTGGTTTATAACATTGTGGTAATGTGAGTCAGGTTCTTACCGGTTTGGATTTGAGGTCTCCTATTTTGCAAACTATTTGTGTGTGTATGTGTGTGTGTATGTGTATGTGTGTGTGTAGATTAAATTTTTACCATTTTAAATTATGATGTGGTTTTATTTGGGGGTTAACAAAACTACAGAATCCACTCATAATTATATCAACTATGAAATTATGGTTTGGATTATAATTAATATATATGATATGATATAAACTGATAAAATTAATTCATTCATAAAGTTCATGTGTTACATGACTTATATCATGAACAAGATGAGAAATTTGGCTAGGCAGAGGTTTGTCTTCTATTATAAGGTGAGAGTTGGGCTTTCAGAAAGTGGATGTCCGATGTGGATACTTGGTATACATACTGGCTCCTTGACAGGCAGGCTGATGTGTATGGGGTTTGAGAAACTGATTCTCTTAAAACTGTACTCACACGATCCTTGGAATGTTTCAGGAACCCCAGAGTACACAAGTTTGGAGGTCATTGCAATTAAGAACCAGTTGACCTGCTCACTAAATGGAGTAAGAAGCAGGAGCAGTAACAACTAGGATGAGAAGGACCAGGAGCTTCTTATATGAGTATGTATATATATATTCATATAAGATGATCTTTCTATATCCAGGTAGATGTTACCATTTTCATTCCTATTTCTTGAAAACGGAAATGTTTCAGTCATTCTATTAATCCACCAGTTGTCTTTCCCTGTGTGTCTAGTTGAAGGAGGAGAGTCAGGACAGTCTGCAAGAATTAGACAACTGGGTGAGACAACGTTACACTCCCACACCTCGGAGGTTAAGGCAGGAGAACAGTGAGTTACAGGCAAGCTCAGGCTGCCTAACAAGACCCTGTATCCACAAAACAAAACAAGCAAACAACAAAAATAAGCGAGGCCTGGTGGTACAAACCTGTAACTCCAGTTACCTGGAAGACTTACGTCTTAGATGTTTTATTATATTTTAAAAAATACAACGTGCTTGTACTTGTATGGGAGCTCCCCTCCCCCCTTTTAAAATTGATAATAGATTTTTTTCATGCAATATATTCTGATCCTGTTTTTTTTACTTCCCCAACTCCTCCCAGTTCCTCCCCACCCACTCAAATCTCCTGTCTCTCATTAAGAAACATACAGATGATAACAACAACAACAAAGACCAGAACAGGACAAAACAAACAGAAAAAACAAAGAGCCAGAGAAAACCCACAAAAACCACTTAAAGACCCAGACATACATGTTCACACACACAGGAATCCCATAGAAACACGAAATCAGAAAACATACTATATAAGCTAAAAGACCTGTAAGGTTAAAAAAAATGCCCAGACAAAGCCTTATGAGACAAAAGACCGCCAAGAATACCACTAGGTTTGTTTTGTGTTGGCCATCTACTGCTGGGCATGGGGCCTGCCCTTAAGTGTGGTTTGTGTACCCAGTGAGACTTTGCTGGAGAAAAGTAGTGTTTCCTTTTTGAGGGGTTGTCCATTGGGGACAACTCCTGGGTTAGGAATGGGGGCTTGTGTCCACTTATCCTCTCAGTGCTGGGGACCGGTTTGGTTTTGACCTGTGGAGCTCCTATGCCACAGTCTCTGGGAGTTCACAAGCGCATCAGACCTGTTGTGTCTAGAAGGCCTTGTTTCCTTGGTGTTCTTCATCCCCTCTGGCTTTTACAATCTTTCCACCTCCTCTTCTTCAGGGTTCCCTGAGCCCTGAGAGGAGGGATTTGATGGAAACACCCCATTTAGGACTGAGTGTTTTAAGGTCTCTCAATTTTGGGTCTCTCAATTGTGGGTCTCTGCATTTGTTCCCATCTACTGCAGGAGGAAGTTTCTCTAATGATGGCTGAGCAAGACACTGATCTAGGATATAGCAGATTATCGTTAGGAGTCATTGCATTGCTACACTCCTCCAGTAGAAGAGTGATATTGCTTTTAGCCTAAGTCCATGGCCTATCTAGTCTCAGATTATAGGTCACTTGAAAAATGTCAGGCACGGGTTTCATCTCATGGAGCAGGACTTAAATCCACTCGGACAGTGGTTGGTGACTCCCACAACTTCTGTGCCACTACTGCAGCAGCGCATCTTTCAGGAGGGCCACCATTGTGTGGAAGGTTTTGTAGCTGGGCTGGTATTTACTTTTCTTCTCTAGTAGAATGCCCAAGAGTGGTAGAGCTGGATTTTGAGGGAGATCATCTTCCTGAGGAACTGTCACACTGATTTCCATAGTGGCTGTACAAGTTTGCACTTCCACCAGCAACGGATGAATGAACCTCTTACTCCACTTAGTCATCAGGGAAATGCAAATCAAAACTACATCGAGATTTCATCTTAACACCAGTCAGAATGGCCAAGAACAATAAAACAAAATGACAGCCCACGGTGTATTTACATGTAAAATCTTATCACCTGGAATAAAGACACTTTGACTTCTTCCTTTCCAATTTGTATCCCCTCGACTCCTTCAGTTTTCTTGTTGCTCTGGCTAAAACTTCAAGAACTATATTAAATAGATATGGAGATAGTGGATAACCTTGTCTTGTTCCCAAGTTTAGTGGAATTTGAGTTTCTCTCGATTTAATTTGATGTTGGCTGTGGGCTTACTGTATTACCTTTAATATGTTTAGATATGTCTTTTGTACCCCTAGCTTCTCCTGGATTTTTATCATGAAGGGATGTTGGATTTTGTCTAATGCCTTTTCTGCATCTAATGAGATAATCATTTGGTTTTTGTCTTTGCACAGGAGTTTTTAAGCTGGGCAGATTGTCTCTCTGAACTAAACAATGATTTGGTTAGTGATGAATGGATATTGTATAGAAAAAGAAAAGAATTCTAGTTTCATATTTTGGTGCAAGAAATACAGGCTGAGTAGCAGGTCTCAGTGGAAAGACAGTGAACGCAGGTGTTATGTTGAAGG